AAATTACAGACATTTTCAATAAACTTCTAGCTATTAATTTAGAAAAAAGCTTCCATCGTGAGTGTGCGTTTTAGTTCTGTGTGTTGCCATGAGAGTTCCCTGTCAGTGAGGTGACGAAACAACAGCATTTTGGAAAACTGGCCTAGTTTTGTTTAAACATTCAGTGATGTGGATAAAACTGTTCAGCTTTTAGCTCAGTTAGATGTTAATTTGTGAACAGCACCGAACGTGTCGCAGTCTCTGCTAAGTGATTGTTGCTGTGGTAGTTTTGCAGTCCTCTTGATGTGACTGGTAATGTCATTATCTTCTGGTGTTTTTCAACCATAGTGGCTGTCAAAATTGTTAGCTAGTATGTGTAAAAATAATAATAATAAAGCAGGCTGTTTGCACTGCACCTGTGAATTTGTTGTTCTCTCATTTTAAATATTCTCTAATACACAAGACATTCGGTGTTTTCATGTTCCCATTTTCTTCTCTGTTAAGAATAGCAGCATTTTGTGTGTTTGTTCTTCAGTTTCTTTTCTAACCTGCAGTAATACTGACGTGAATACCTATTTTGATTAGTGGAGCGGGAGTAGATTGCTCATGACAGCGGAAGCCATTAAAGACATGGGAGCAGCTGTCTCCACACACCATCAAGGTCTTGTTAGAATTACATTATTATATTGATTTTGAAGTGTAGCTCAAAGCAGCCTGTGCCTTTGCTTATGGCAGACAGCCAGGATCTATTTCTTTCAGCGAGAGGGGAACAAGGTGACAGCAGGCTGATGGCCAGAGAGATAAAAGCAGAAGGCTTTTCGGTTCAAATCTTCAGACTGGTTGAAAGCACCTGCGCTGGGAAGTGAACACGATGTGTTTTTGAGCTTTTCTTTCTTTAAGATGTGTTGATATTGTGCCTGAAAAATGCACTTTGCTGGCAAAAAGAATGCTCTGGCTGAAGTGTAGTTTGTTACCACCATGAGCCAACACTCAGCTACAGGAATAGTCTGACAGCAGGTTGGGAAATATTCACTTTTAATTTGATACCTTTCACAGCTGTCCGGTAAATATGAAACTAGACGTAGGGCACAATTTGCTAATAGAATAAACTCTTAAATATAGATTTTCTGATTTTATCCTGCAGGCCTTCTGCTTAGGCTTCAGTCTTTAGCCTTTCTTGGGTAAATGTCTGTGTTCATCCCAGTATGAGCTGATGAACTCCAGAACACCAGGGCTCTATGTCTGTCTGTGATTGTAGTCCTGCAATAGACCGGCGACCTGTCCAGAGTGTCCCCTGTCTTAACCCTACGTCAACTGGGATAGGCTCCAGTCCCCCACGACCCCAGTGAAGATGAAGCAGTGTATAGATAGATAGATAGATAGATAGATAGATTAAACCGTTATTGATCCCGCAGCGGGGAAATAGAATAAAAAATAACAGACCGTACGGGGGGGGGGGGCAGCACACAATGCACACAGTGCACAACATATAAAACAGATTATTTTCTTCTTTTAGGAGAATTATAAACGATTAACAGAAACATTTCTGTGAAATTACACGACATCCTCATTTACATTGTTTGCATTATTATTGTACGGTGGGTGACTGAGCTACTGGGAGCAGGCTTGATTGAACAGTCTGACTGCAGCAGGAAGGAAGGACCTGCGGGATCTCTCCTTTAGACACTGCAGGTGAAGCAGTCTGTCACTGAAGGAGCTGTCCAGTGATCTTACTGTTTCCTGCAGGAGGTGGGAAGTGTCCTCCATGATGGACCATGTTGTAGATGGATGGATGGATGGATGGATGGATGGATGGATGTTTTCAAAAAAACATACCAAACCAGTTGTGATATTTGAAAAGTGCAAAAAAAACAAACAAAAAACCCCTTTTGCTTGCTGAACTAAAACACACAGGCCAAAGCCAACATGATGCTGTTGATCCTTTTGTTCTTGTGAAGGAGATGAATTTCTCTTGTGCTGCAGATTCACTGCCAGCTCTAACCTCGCTCACCCTGTGCCTCATCCCTGAGGTTCCTATGCTGGAAATAAACACTTGTTTTTAGTGCTTTTTTTTTCTTCAAGGTTTTTGTGTGTTTAGTTTTTAAGTTTATGCAATACACAATATATCAAGATAAGATGATTCAATAAAAGACACACTAGCTCAGCAATACTGGTCAGTTATTTAGCACATTTCATTGCTTCTTGTTTTTGTTTTTTAAAGAGATTTTAGAAAACTTGTTCATTTTATATGTAATGCATATGTTTAAATAGAGTCTGTATGAGGCTGTTGTGGATGTGAGCTATGAGCCAGTGTGGGTGCCTGCTGAGCTACACTCAACGAGGCTGCACATTATACATGCACACATGAAGCTAAAAGGGTCAGGGAACTGTACACATCAGGACATGTATGTAGTACAATACACTGGAGGCACGAGCAAGAAGGCAAGTTCAGTGTTTTTTTGCTCACAGTGAGAGGGGTGTGCATGAACTGAGTGTGCACATGTTCTTGTGCTGTGATTTTTCTGTACTTTTCTAATGGGATCCCCTTATTGGTGTCTAAGTGTTAAAAGCATATGGCGCCATCCTCTCTCCCTCTGTCTCTCTCTCCTCGCTCAGGATTTGATGCAGAGTTTATATATAGCTGCTGAGTTGTGTGGTAGTTTGTGATAGCTGTCTCCAAAGCGACCAACTTCTCACTTCCCACTCTCTGACGCAAACAAAAAAGCATCTGTGCTGAGAGGGGGTGTCAACCCTGCAATCAAAACCAGAGGAAATCAAACTCTAATCTTATTACTTGAGTGAAAAGTGGGCGACGTGTTACATTTAACATCTGAGCAGTTATGATAATAGGCCACAGGCATATGCTGTCCTGTTGAACCTCGACTCCTGCTTACATCAGAAGATTACACGTGACTCAGTTCAGAGATTTTTCTTCACATGATGGTGCTTTTTTTTTTTTTTTTTTTTTGTTACACTGGCTCATGCAGCATGAGTCCGTCTCTGAAAATGCTGCTATTTTTTTTTCTAGCACCAGTTTCCCAGAACTTAAAGTGCCCTTTTCATAACATTTATAGATGTCTGTACTTCATGGTCAGATTAATAACATGCCTTGTACTGGTACACCTGAAACTATTAAAGTGTTGCCTTGGAAAAATTCTGTCCTCTTTTTTGAAGCCTTTAGGATGAGAGGTGGAATATTTTCAAGAACTAAACAGAGAAGTCCAGTTTCCCTCTACTGAATCTGTTCGGATTACTGTGATCTGGATGGCTGAGAATCTGAACAGACATTAGATATGCCTCATTTCACAGGCAACCTCTTTGAAAGGGGGCAGCTTAAGAAAGTGTGGTTCTCTCCAATGAACTGATAAGATGGACTAAAGATGAGTCACCGGGATATTATTACAAGTCTCTCAGGAATTTGGTAATAATGAGGACACAAAGGATGCAGTGGTTCAAGTGAAAGGAGTCTCAGGGAGACAGTCTCTGCAATAACACAAATTACAGAATGCAGACTAGACAGTGGCAGATGTTTTATTGGTATTCACAGGCTAAATATAGCCAGAGTTTAATTTGAAATTTGTGAGAAGGGGAACACTTGTCCAGTGAGGTCGGGGCTCACAGATCAGGCTGGAGACAGTACAAATAGGGCCTTTTTTTTCTCAGAAAAAAGTAGTTCTAATTAAAATTCGACATTGTGCTGTGCTGATGTGGGTCATCTGGGGTAAAAAGGCTCTGTTTCTGAAAAGATGTGTTCCAGCTGATTTAACTGAATGCTAGTATTGTAATGTTGTACTATAAACTAAATTCCATTAACCTTCATTGTGACTCAACATCATTTCAGAGTTAGATATCAAATTAAATCCAACTCTCTGTATAAAGACATCCCACCTGGGAGAGTTCTCCTGAAGCTGTATTCACACCAAAGGTCAAACCGTAGTTATATAAGCCTGTACCCAAATACACTACAATAGCAGGCCTTTCAGGTTTTTTTTTTGTCGTTGTTATAATATTATCATTTGTATTAATTTATCACTCAGCAAACATGACATTCATCCACACAAGTAGCCAAACTAAACGACAGTAACTTACAGGCTGAGTGTAACAAATTGTGTTTTCATTGGTTCCTTCCCACCATTGCAGACTGTTTGCTCATCGGGAATCCAAAGGCAACTTTAGATTGTTGGGTCCTCTGTTCTTTGTTTAAAATTCACAAGGTATTTACGTTACTATGTGAAGTGCTATGAGATGATGTGTTGTGAATTGGAGCTATATACATAAAATTGAATTGAACTGAATTGTTGGGCTGACTGTCCTTTGCCTCATTTTTATTTACCTAAATGATCATATAAGTTCATACTTGCAGTAATGCCACTACTGCCAATATAACTGTATTCAAGCACCAGAATTAAAATAAAAAATAAAAATCTATAATAATGCAATTGATACACTCAGAAAACAAGTGTCCAGAGGAAATTATATTTGCTGTAAATAAAAATGCATCCACAGCTCTGATGGTGCTGATTCATGCTGAGATCAACTGATTTCACTGTGATTCTGTGCAGCCGCTGTGTTGTTTGTTTGTTCAAAAGCACATTTGTCAATAGGGCTTTGTAAGATGACAATGATGTCATGATATAAGCCTATTAATATAACCAACCAAGTTACATTGCGTGCATAAATTGCTTTCAACACCTAATTCAGTTTGGCTCCTTCCGGTGCGTGATGCTGCTGCTGTTTAACAAATTCAAAGAAAAGAAGGTGACAGTCTACATTTGTTTGTTCAGAGTCACGTTTCAAGAGTTGGATGGCAGCTGGGGAGGCTGAGAGAGGAGCTCCAGCAGGGAGCAACTTACATATTAGGAGGTGGAGTTCAGCTGTGGTGGTCTTGGCCCAATTTAACCCCTGAATATAACATGTTTAATGAAACCTTTCTCAAAAATTGACTTTTCAAGTTTTAGTTTGATCAAACTTTATTTATTTTAATTGCTGTCTCTGTCTCTCTGCCTGTCTTTCTCCTGTAGATTGAAGAAATTGTCACTCGCATCCAGGATGAGACCGATGGTGTGCCCATCAGAACTGTCAAAAGTTTTATGACCAAAATCCCTAGTGTTGTTACAGGTAAGAAATGAAGAAAGAAAGACATGGAGATGTAAGACTGACACTGACAGACTCTGCACTGTAAGCATTAACTGTAAATGTGCATCAGTGATGGACAGTGAGTGATGAGTGAAGGAATAAAGGAGGCCATGGAAATATGCTGAGTTCCCCAGATTCTCCATGTTCCTGGAAAGATGACATTTCAGCCACTTGTTCCCAGGGTGCATTATTGAGGGAACGTACTTTGATTTGACATTTTGGATATTTATGTTTATTCACTGTTTCATCAAGAGTGGAGAAGAATGATAATCTAAGCCCAAGGAAAACTGTTATAAAATTTTCATGTTTACATATGGTGACAAGGGAGTTTTACAGGTGCTTATAAGCTAATTTTCCCTTATTAGGTCAAAAGTTTGCTAGTCTTTCTGCTAAGCTAAGTTATCTGACAGCTGACTGTAGCCTCATAAATGGATATGTATGGCAGTAATCTCAATATTCTCTTCTTGCTCTCAGGAAGAAAGAGCATTATCATATTCCCTCAATGAAATCTTGAAATTAGATCTGAGTAAACATCCAAAAGCCATTTTGTGAGCTATGCTGCACTTATCATCACCACTGTTTAGACTGTGATGGTGTTGGAGAAGCTAAACAGCCCGGATCTCCAGCTGAGTCACACCCCTACATCCAAATCACAATGTGTTTTGTGGCAGCATTTCGTTATGTTGATGGAGCTGCTCTGTTTCTCCTGCAATGGTTCACTGGAGAGTAGCTGGAGGGAAAGTGGGAGGACAACATATGATTAAATGTTTGGAAAAACAACTGCGAGTGTGGAAATGGAATGAGTAATGCTGTCCTCCTACTGTCAAAGTGCCCTTAAGCAAGGCAATCAGCCCCCGACTGTCTCGGTGAGCTAAGGCTGTAGGTGTCAATGCACTGAACTTTATAGAGGTGAAAACATACAGCGCAGTCAAAATGTAGAAATAAACTTTGAAAATCAAAAATTAAAAAAACATAAATAGCTGAACCGGGCAGGTAGGGACAGATGTTCGCCACCTTGCCTTCTGGCTGTAATCGCTTTGACTGAGAATCTAAATCACTTTAAGAGGCTGGAGCCGCAGCGGGAGGTTTTCACATTCACCAAACAAATGATGAAAACAGAGAAAGGCTATTAAAATTCTCTCTGTATCCCCCCAGTCTTTGCATTTATGGAGAATGCATTACCCCAATATGCCATAAGCAGAGCATATCAATAAACACAATTACTACAGCAGCAGATAGATGTGCAGAGCAGGAGCCGAAATGTTTGCAGCTGAGTGCCGATGGCCAGGAAACTAATGAATGATGGGAAGTTAAACACCACTCCGTTCAGGGAAGCAGAGGAGAAGCACAAATGAGATGATGCTCTAACTCCACTGTAATAAAAAAGGCCTTTAAGGATGTTTACCTAGCAGACTTATTACTTAAAGTAATGTGAAGAAACAGTGGGATGAGATAAATGTACATTTTTGCAATCTTGATATTTAGTTGGCTCTAACTTTTATAGCTTTGGATGAGATATTTCATGAAGGAAAATAATCTAGTGCAACGATAACAAGCTGTTTTTTGTTGCACATCATTTCCTGCTGTGTCTTTTATTTTATGAATCTTTTTTTGGTGGGAGAGTAATGGAAATAGTAATGGAAAATCTGTTTGCATATTTAGATTTTGCTTAAAAGTGATGTTACAGTTTTTCTCAGTCGCTTTGGTACATTTCTCAGATCAGAATTGAAATTCTCAAAACTACTTCGCATCATTGTGTCACTTGCACACATCAAAAAAGCAGTTTCTCATTTCTTTGAACAAGTTCTAAATGCTTTGGTACATCCATGCACATGATTATGTGCAGTTCTCTGCTGTTTCCTAAATTAGCAATTGCTTTTGTCATGTTGATCAAAATGCATTATAATGAGTCTCTGTTGAATAGTCTCACCCCCCACAACATTTAGGCATTAGTTCATTGCATAAGTCTTTACATGCAAAATGGTTGAACAAGTTGTCATAATATATCAAGCATATTTCTATACAGTTCCATGAGACTGTTTGTCTAAATCTGTCCTGAATTGGTAAATTGCTCCCAGGTGAATCTTAACTATTCTAATGAAGGAAAATGTGTAGCATTACATGGATCAACCGATGATCAGCCAGTTTTCTGAAACAGCTCAAAGGTGCATCTTATGAACCATCAACTGGCAAATACAGACGTAGACTGCACTGTAATTCCTACAGCACTGTGTGTACAGTTTTCCCTATGGAGATTGTTCTATGTTCATATTTCTACTTTTGTTTTTTTCTTTGTGCTAGGCAGTGCTGCCGTTTCCTTTCTGTATCACAGTGACATGGTCTGTCAACAAATTACAATACAAACAGTAAAAGTGTAAATGTGAATCTTGTCCAGTCTCTTGCAATCAACCTCCTACATACACTAAGGTGTAACTCACAATCCACAATAATTGTCATCAAAACTTCAGCCATAGTTTACATCAGAACATCCTTCCAGAGTAAACTGTTATACTGACACCATGACTAAACAGTTTGACTGTCTTATCCATACATATTGATACATGGACTTGTCATTCTGATGGCACTGACATGTTCATTGACACAGATATTTAGTTTTGAGAGATGATCTAAGGATTTTGAGCAAGTAACAGCCTTTTGCAGGTAATCTGTGGTGTTTTGCTATTCATACGAATTGTTCTGGGAAATGTACTTACTGTTTTGCAAATGTCAAGGATGATTCGAGAAATGTACCAAAGCAACTGAGAAAAACTGTAATACTGTGCTAGTGTACTTTCCTTTTGCCTTTTACACTTTTTTCTTATCTTTCACTCTTTAAAAAAAATCAAACAAAATAAACAAGTCATAGCCCTTCTCTCACACTATTTCTTTGTAACTACACACTGTGTAAGTGTCATTTGTCTCTCCCTGTCTATCTCTGATTCAGGTACAGATATTGTGCAGTGGCTGATGAAGGACCTGTCCATTGAGGATCCAGGTACGTTCTAAAAAATGGCACCAGACTGCACTGTGCCGAATGAGTTTAAAGGCCCCAACCTCCTGTGTCAACAGAAATCCTGTACAGCTGTACAAACAATTTACTGGGTGCAGCATTTCCCAGTTTAGTTTTAGATTATAACACTGACAACTAAGCACTGTTTTGCCCTTACTGTGGTTATAACACTGCAAGTTACATCACTGTACAATATGAAATACAGGGTGTTAAGAACTAAGTGAAAAATGGATAGAAGGAGTTTCTCTCATCAACGGCAGTCCAGCTCGTTAAAAGGTCAGACACCGTGTGTGGGAGACACTGTGAGTCTTCTTTAGAAAACTATTTTAGCTTTTGAAAGATGGAATCAATATTGATTGGGTTGTTCACAATAGATAGATGTTTACAGTTCATATTTGCATTGATTTCTATCATGGCTGAACACACTAAACTACAGAAAGTCAAAGATTATCAGCAGATAATTAAGTTTTGCAAGTTCTGAGAAATGCAGTGTCGAAGCAACACAGACTGAACAAGAAAAGATGCAAACTAGGGTTTTATTAAAAATAGTGACTACTTTTTTTTGCTGTGAATGTGTTGTTTAGTTGACCTGACCCGTGGCATAGTGGTGGGAGAGCAGTGTTTATTGTTGGTCCAGTCGCCCACGTCCAGGACAATGAATCAATCATTGAGTCATCCCAACCACCTCGGCTCTCAATCTTTTTGACGAAGTCCAGTTTAGATTCAAAGATTAAAATTGGCAATGTAAAAATCAATACATTTGTGGTTTTGAAAATCTTTGACTTGACAAAATCATCATTGTATAAAGACTGTTGATTGTTGTTTATATCATATTTCAAACTATCACTTTCATGTGTGTGGAATTTTGCCATTGTCCGGATTTTGTTTCTTCTTAGTGGGTTTCATATATTGTATTACAGATACCTTGTTATGTAGTGAGGAATCTGCTGTGGTTTGCTCTGTTCCTTCTACAGCTGAGGCCATGCACATTGGGAGTCTCATTGCAGCTCAGGGCTACTTCTTCCCTATCTCAGACCATGTCCTCTCCCTCAAAGACGATGGCACTTTCTACCGCTTTCAGGTGAGCAGGAACATCAAGGGATGGAGACACAGCGGAGGTGATAGAGGAAGTGGTGTCACTCACTATATTCTCTGTGTGCAACCTAATAACTACCACAGAATTTACTTTCAGGAGCTCTGTGTTTTGGGTGAATGTTTATATATGTTTTTTATTTTATTCCCATTCATTCAATTTTAATTCAATACAATTTTATTTGTATAGCGCTGTCAAGTGTTATTGCCCAACTGTGCTGTGCCCCACACTTGAAAGAGCTGTACCCCCAATGCGAAGTATGCAGCTCGAATTTACTCAGACAGGCCTTTAAGTCTCTTTCAATTCTTTATTGAGTTCACTTTTGGCTTCAGTCATTCAGTCAGACACACAGACT